CTGCTTACATTACTGGGACACTACTTGAGCGAGCTGCAAATAATCTTTTCAGCTGAGTATCTGATACTGTAGAATAAACAGAAGGTTTGATATGAGATTTCAGTTTAAGGTAGTATAGAAGAGAGATAACTGTTCTCTCCTGAGAGATAGTGGAGGCTCATAAATGTCTGCATACAGGCTTTGAACAGGAGAAGTTCGAAAAGCACCAGTGCACAAATGCAATGCTTGATGGTGGATTGGATCCAGCATCCAAAGAGTAGATTTTTGTGCTGAGCCATACACAATGCATCCATAATCCAGCTTGGAGTGGACAAGGGCCCTATAAATCCTGAACATAGAACATTTGTCTGCTATCCAGGATGAGCAGCATAGTACCTTTTAAAGGTTTAGAGATTTTAAACATCTACTCTTCAAAGTGCACAAGTGTGGCAAGAATGTCAGTTTTTGGTTGAACAAAACATCAAAAAACTTAGCCTCATTGACCATTGGAATGTAAACCCCATTTAGGTGAATTTCAGGATCCAGGTGCAAACCACGCCTTCGGCAGAAGTGGATGCACAAGGTCTTCCCTCGTTAAACATAAAGCTATTGATCTTGGACCAATCGTATATGGAATTTAGAGAGGTTTGTAGTTGTCTTTCAATAAAATTCATGTTACTAGACCGGCAAAAGATCTGAAAGTCATCCACATACAGAGTGTGTTTCACACTTGGAGCAAGATAGTTAGTAATGCTGTTAATTTTTTATTAAAAACAGAGTCACACTTAAAATAGAACCTTGAGAGACACCTTGTTCTTGTGTAAAAGGCTTGTCTAGATAAAGTTGTGCCCATCCTAACTTGAAATCTTCAATTCTGAAGGAAGATTTTTATAAAAATTGGCAAATTACCCTTCAATCCGAATTGATGCAGATCACAGAGTATTCCGAATTGCCAACAGCGGTTGTATGCCTTTTCTATATCAAACAACACAGACACTAAGTGCTGTTGTCAAACAAACGCTTCACATATAGATGTTTCAAGGTTTACTAAATTATCGGTGGTACTTCTGTTCCTATGAAATTCCCTCTGATGTGGTGAAAAGCAATTCTTTTCCTCTAAGAGAAACATCAAACATCTGTTTACCATTCTCTCGAAGAGTTTACAGAGACAACTTGTCAGCGAGATTGGTCTGTAATTAGAGGGATTCTTGAGATCTTTTGAGACCTGGCTTGCAAATGGGAATAATAATCGATAGCCTCCAAGAGTCAGGAAAAGTATGTCCTATCCATATTCTGTTAAACAGATTCAGAAGATTACTAAGGGAATTGTTTGACAGATTTTTAATCATGCTGTAGTGGATTTTATCCGAGTCTACAGCAGTATTCCCTGAGCGAGAGATCGCTGTATATAGTTCTATGATGGTGAATGGCACATTATATTCCTCATTAGATGGGGATTGAAAGTTTAAATGTTGTTTTTCACTTTGGGCTTTATAAGCCTGAAAATTCCTTGTATACATTATATCACTGGATGAAGAGAAAAATGTTTCGCCTAACAAATCATCATATGTCACTAGTTATTGTGCCATTATTTTCCAGCATGGACAAAGACTGAGAAGCATATTTCCCATTAATTTTATGGATTTTATCCCAGACAGCTTTTGAGCTGATAGAAGATTTTATACTAGAAACATATTTCCTCCAAGAATCCCATTGGTTTTGCCTCCTTATTTTTCTGGCATTTGCCTTTGCTTTTTGAAATGCAATCAAATTGTTAGCAGTGGGGTAACTTCTGAAAATCTCCATTTTTTTTTTTTTTTTTTTTTTTTTTTTGTTGTTGTTTGTAGGCTGCCTCGCAATTCTGGTTCCATCATGGTTTTGGATGTTTTGGATAACTTCCATTTTCCCCATTGTTTTTTCAGCTGCCTGAATGATACTGGAAGAGACAGCTTCAATATCAAAGAGTCTGCACCATTGATATCAGCAGTATTTCCTCAGAGATGTTAGTTATAGAGGAGAATGCAGACCAATCAGCTGTTTCCAGTTTCCAGCGTGGTGGACAGGCTGTTTCACAGCTTTCTCTGCCTCTGTATTTTAGAAATATTGGGGAGAGTGGATTAGATCCAACTTCCATGTAAATGCTGAAAACAGGTTTGGAGTTGCTAATGATTGCCTATAAGTCTCTCAATGGCTCTGTCTCAACGATTGATGTTGGGACTGCCTCACATTAAATTGTGACCGTTGAAATTACAGAGTAAAAGGTATGGAATTGGCAGCTGTTCAGCCAAGGTATCTAATTCATCCTTGTTGATTCTGACATCTGGTGGCAAGTATATAGAACAAACTGTGACAGTTACTCCAATAGAAATTCTGGCTGCCATAGCTTGCAAATCAGTTGTTATTTATACCAGTAAGAACGGGATACGATTTGAAACCAGTATAGCCACACCGCCAGTGGCATGGTTGTAGCTATTATCATCCTTGCAGTAAAGTTCAAGTCCTTTTAAAGAAATTCTTTCTCCAGGTTTTAGATGGGTTTCCTGGAGTGCCACACAGAGAGATGGGATAGATGATGTCATGTGTTTAATGTCAGAGAAGTTGTTGCGGAAACCACGACAGTTCCATTGAATTATTTTATAATCCATTATGTGTTTGAGGCAGCATTCTTAGTGAAAGTATCCCTCTTTAATCTGACAGGGGTTTTTTTTGGAGATGACGTTGGCTTTGTAACCTTCATATTAGACTCTTTGTCACAGATATCAGAAAACTCACTCATAGATTGAGCTTATGCTTTTTTTTGGAACTTTAGAGAGGGCTGGTTTCACTCTTTGTTTGTTAAGTGGGTTCTTAGTAGCGTTTTTAGAACCACATTTTTGGTTATTACCCCTGATTTAGTTACAGAGGTTTTGATCTCTGTATTCTCTATTTCTTCAGTTTGTGTAGATGGGATCAGTAAACATTTTGCATGGCGAGTGAGAGATTCTTTTGGAGAAACAGAAATATCTGTTTGAACTCCACGTGTCTTTGTGGATTTCAAAACAGCAGCAAATGTCTTGTTTCAGTGATGTACTTGAAGTGACCATGCAATGAGTCTCTGAGTAAGATAAATTGCTGACTGTTTTTACTCGTTGGATCTCTTTCTCTCTCTGCCATGTAGGGCATTTCCGAGAGTAGGCAGGGTGAGCATCTTTGCAGTTCAAACAGCATGGGGTACTTTTACATTCAGTACTCTTGTGACCTTCAGTTCCACACTGCGCATACACTCTTCCCTCGGCAGGATGCTTGTGAATGTCTAAACAGCTGGTATTTGAAGCAGCACAGCAGATTTGGAACGTACGGACGAACTGAACAGTGCAAGTATCCTGCTGTAATGGCAGATGGCAATGTCAGCTTGTTGAATGTCAGAATTAGGTGTTTGGTTGGTATTAGCTTGCCATCTCAACAAATGGAAATACGTCAGAAAGCAGTGACATCTTGATCTGAAAGATCAACGATCGTTGATATTACACCACAAGATGAGTTTAAACTTCCATGTGGTGTGACAATGACTTCCATGTCTTCCAGGGTCTTTGTTGCTAACAGTTTTGCTGATTGTTGTTGAGGAGAAGCTGTTTCTACCAGTAGGTCCCGACCTCAATTTTTGTATTTTTTTCAAATGCCCAATGGTCGATTCAAATAGTTTTTGAATCAGGAAAGGGAAGCTTTAGACAAGGGTTTTTCTCCAGTTGTGTGCACTACTAAGTACGCTGGCGTACTGGAAATTTTTTGATTTGTTTTGTTGGTGCACCAGGATGTTTTGAATTTTTTGAATCCACGATTAAAAAATTACTATTCAGCTCCCAGTGACCCTACCCACTATGGGGCCCAACAAGGGGATGCCATCACATGGAGTACTTTCATAGACTGTCACACCAGGGTTTCCCAGGAGCTATACCTTCAGAATGCTGTTGAGAAGAGCACATCTTGACTGACATGACAAAACTGTCAAGCAGGGTCATGTCTGCCCAGTCTGCATCAATTGGTTGTGTGAGGGTCAGAGATTTCATTAAAAATATGACACTTCTATGTTGCAGCGTTATTGACAGCAATTTGTTAAATTTCAGACGTGCTCACTAGTACTTTCAACAGTTTACAACCGTCGTCTTCAGGCGAAATCGAATACCTTTGTTTTCGAATTGACAGCTTTTAACGGACTTTCCAAATTACGTAATGCGCGTGAATGGAATATAGAACAAATTAATAAAATTGAATAAATAAATATTTTTTTTAAAGAAACCTGCTGTAATAACTTGAATTCCCCAAAACATATAAATATTGATTGATGGTGCCGTGCATAGTAATGGAATAAAATTAGAACACAAAATTATAACTTGGATTGTTTAAATAAAGTTATCCATAGCTGTGGTATTTCCAATGTCGGCTCATTACACGGCAAAGCAGCGGATATATAAAGATTTTCCCATATGAATATTTGCCTACGATCATTGCAATGCTTAAGTAATTTAACATGGTTCCAAAGTGGAAGATAATCTTGTTCTAGCACCTTTTTCGCTAATTCTGTAGCTGGTCTATTATTTCTTATGTCTTCTTGATTTTCGAGGATGCGGGACCCCGTATCATTCTGGTGGTAGCTCCAATATAGATAATTTTCTCCCCTGATACTGTATGTTTTAATAGAATTTTGTAAACCCCCGATTTTTCATTCAACGTGAGAACTACGAAGAACATTGTGCAACGATAGAGACATTCTCACGTTGAATGAAAAATTGGGGGTTTACAAAATTCTATTAAAACATACAGTATCAGGGGAGAAAATTATCTATATTGGAGCTACCACCAGAATGATACGGTTCCGCATCCTCGAACATCAAGAAGACATTAGAAATAATAGACCAGCTACAGAATTAGCGAAAAAGGTGCTAGAATAAGATTATCTTCCACTTTGGAACCATGTTAAATTACTTAAGCATTGCAATGATCGTAGGCAAATATTCATAAGGGAAAATCTTTATAGAGAGGTTTCATGTCGGCATCACAAGTGACGTCATGAGCATGCGCAATTGTCCAGCGCCATCTTTGTGACTCTTTGTGACTTGTTTACGTTTTGTGTGTGTCCACGTGCGCTTTAACTGGAGTTCTTGTATTGTTTTTTTCGTCGCGAATATCACTATGGTTATTTGTTGTGTAATTGGGTGTAATGCTAGTTCACTCAAGAACAAAGGAACCTCATTTTTTAAAATTCCCGGCATTATTTCTCATCAAGGATCCCAAACTGAAGAGCTTTCACGACGAAGACAATCTGCATGGCTCTCGAGAATTAACCGGAAAAATTTCAATACGGATAAAGTGAATATCAATACAAGAGTTTGTCAGAAACATTTCATTAAAGGTAAGCAATAAATCAACTTACCATTTATCAATAAATTAAATAAACTTATACATGAGTATCATAGTGTCTGCTTGTAATAAATATACAGTAGAGTTAATATTAAAATGTTAAACAAAGATAATCACTTAGCAGATGAAGAATTAGAAGTGTATTTTAAACCAATTTCCTTCCAATCTAATTTACATAAATAAATGTGTATTTTTTAAGATATAAACCAATAATTTCCATTTTTCATTTACAAATAGTTAAGTTAGTTTATTTTGGTGAGCAACATTAACATTTGTTTAAGATGCTACTTTTTACATTGCATTTTTATATTAGTAACAAATAATTATTACATAGTACATGTAATGTTCAACTTGTTCCTGACAAATTCTTATTATTTATATATAACATACCATAATGATAAGTTATTTTAATATTATGTGAAATTACTAACATTAAACACAGTATATTAATAATAATAAAAATAATTTAATATTAAATTGTCATAATATATTATTTAAAAATTATTTTCATTCCAAAGGAAAACCTTCCTCATTGTATGATGAGTCATCACCAGACTGGGTGCCAACATTATACATGGGGTATGAGAGTGACCACAACTTAACTGCAAATCAGGAGCGTTATGAAAGAGCACGTAATCGCAAGATACAACGAGTGGCCTTAGAAGCTGAAACTCCTAAGGCAGCTGAAGCTTGCACCCAACCTCCTACTGTTAAAGATGCAGAGATCTCAACAACTGCAGAAATGCAAGAAGCAGAGCCTTTAAAATCTAATGCATGGGTACAAACTACATCTTTAGTTGAAACTGTCACTTGTCAGACTGAATTTAAAGCTAAAGATATAGAAAGCTTGCAATTTGAGTGTGCAAACTTGAAAACTGAAGTATTATTATTAAAAAAAACATATGTTCTTAATGAAGAGTTTTTTGAAGGTGATGACAACAAGGTTCATTTTTTTAGTGGACTGAGCAATTTTAAATTGCTATCATTGATACTGAACCTTTGTCGTAAACAGATTGATCATCCAAATTCCAGAAAATTAACTCCTTTTCAAGAGATGATAGTATGTTTGATGAGACTTCGCTTAAATTTAAGTCTGGAAGATTTGGCTTACAGATTTAATATTTCAAAAGCAACAATATGCCGAATCTTTGACAAGTGGCTGCACATTTTATACATCAGGTTAAGCAGATTGATTGTTTGGCCTGAGAGAGATGTGCTGCAAAAAACTATGCCCAAAGAATTTAAAAAAACTATTGGCAATAAGATTGCAGTAATAATAGACTGTTTTGAGCTTTTTATTGAACGGCCTTCGTCATTAGATGCTCGCTATTTGACATGGTCCCAGTATAAGCACCATAACACAGTAAAGTTTTTAATAGGTGTTACTCCTCAAGGATCTGTGTCTTTTATATCAGAACCTTGGGGAGGAAGGGTTAGTGACAAACACCTAACCGAACATTCTGGGTTGCTTAAATATTTACTGCCTGGAGATTTAGTGCTAGCAGACAGAGGTTTTAACATTACAGATAGTATTGGAATTACTGGAGCACAGCTAGCAGTTCCTGCATTTACCAGAGGTAAACAACAACTCTCTGCATTGGAAGTAGCAGAAAGCAGAAAGATGTCTCATTTGAGAATCCATGTGGAGCGAGTAATCGGTCGCATTAAAAATAATTTTAAAATTCTAGAGTCAACATTGCCAATTGAGCATGTGACACTAAAGGGACATGACAGTGTCACATCAATAGAAAAGATTGTACATGTTAGTTGTGCTTTAATAAATTTATGTAATAGTGTTGTGCCATTTGAATAAAATCAAGTTTACACTGTGTAATGTTTTAATAAATCTTTATTTACAATTTCAGTCTATTGTTTTGAATACCAACGTGCTGTCAGTTCTGGTAATATACATAATTTGAAAAAATTTCTTGCTTTTTCAATGATGCTATTCCACAATGTAAAGTCTCTATAAATCCGCTCAATGTGCAAACTTTTTTCTGTCCAAACTACAAAGTCACAATATTCAACATTACATACAAATATTTGTGTTCGCATTTGGTAGTAGTAATTGCTGTGTTTGTTAATTGTATAAATACCATTCTCCTTAACTAAATAATTGGGTGTATTTTCATCAATATTTTGTTGTCGCTGACACCAAGGATATTTCATTTCAACCACTCCTTGGCCACAACAGTTGTAGTCTTCAAGACCATCAGGTGAGGCACCAATGAATGGATGAGATGGTAACACATGAAACCCTGTTTCTTTAACAATGAAATTACAATGAAGTTTAGCTTGTTTTTCTTCATATTTTGATCGTGCATGGTTTTCGTGATCACATCCCCATTTTACCGAGGGACTTTTGAATCTATGTTCAAATGGGTAGCAAATTTTTTTAATCAGTGACTTTGCTGGATTAATTAAATTTGTGTGGCATGCTGCTTTCATATTAGATGCAGTTATGCGTCCAGCTCGATACTGATACCAAACTTTCTGTTTGTATTGCTTTGTTGTCAAGTCACTTATGTTTTTTATCTGGTCTTCTGTAAGTTGCAACTCTTGAAACAGTTTGCAACAGTATTCTTCCAGCTCAGGCCAGTCCAGGTTAGCAAGAGATGGATTAAAAAGATTTCCAAACATCAAAGGAAAAGGTATATCCTCACTTGCAACAAAGCAATCAGAAAATCTAGGTGTAACAGCCAAAATGCAAGCTTGTGGATTACATTTTGTTACATCTGACAAAAATGAATCCAGCTCACTGTCAGTCATAGGTGTTACCTTCATGTTTTTCTTTTTGATTGCACTTTGGTTAGCATTTACATCAGTCATGCGGTTATACTTTGCAACTGATGAACTGAAATCTATTTCCTTTAATGGACGAGGAGCAAGAACTCTTGAATGTGGAGGCAACCACTCATTTACTCTGTCAGTGGATGTTTTTGACTCTCGGATTCTAACACCCACTTCTAAGGCAAACAGTACAGCACCAACATGTGAACATGCTGAAGAGCAATCTGCCATACAATTGCAGTGAGCTGTTATGACTTCTCCAGAATATTTGCCAAGAATCCACACTTTTAAAGGTGGAATTCTTAAGCTTTGAGAATGACTAACCTGAAAAAATAGACATTATGTTAAAAAAATAAACATTGTCAAGAATTTAAGAAAATTGTGTCAAGTTTTACTAATATGCTAGCATTAGAACATTTATATTAACATTTAATTTTAACATTAATAATATTTACATTAATAAACACTAAGTTATATTTTAAAACATAGAAGAGTTTATTGATTTGCTTATATTAATTTAGTTAGGTATAGTGCATTTATAAATGTACTACTAATGTAATTTCAGGCTTTAGCTAGTGCAAACTTATAAACATTACATGTTAAAACTAAAAGCAAGTAGGCTTATTATATGGTAATTTCAACTAGAAAATACAGGTACTGAACAATTTGAATTTAAAAAAATTGCCACAGCTGTTTTTAATTAATAAGACTTTTTTACTTTCAGACAAAAATTCTTAGTTAAGAAATACGTAAAAACACGAGTTTAAACAAACAAAAGAAAACATACCTTTCCAAGCAATATTACTTCGCTGTTATTCATTACTTTCACCTTTATATCAGGAGAAACCCAGCCACTTGTTAAATAGTTATGGGCCTCTAAAGATTTGTATGCTTTCATTTGTGACAGGGTGTAGAAATTTGTTGTCAAAACCAAATAGTTTATGATGTCACCAAATTCTACTTTCGGCCACAACTCTTGATCTACAACGAAGTCTGATAAACTGGCTTCGTATGGATCGCCTTGACATAACGAAATTTTCTCTTCGTATATAGCTGCATCTCGTCCTGTTAGACTACTAGAATAGCCCGCAAGAAAAGAATCTTTTTTAGCTTTATCCATGATGATAAAACTGCAGTATTTTTGTACGTTTAAATTAAACAAATGCGTCGAACAACAGACCAAGTGCAAGCTAAGCATGCGAAAGCTACCACAAAAATGGCGAAGGGGCGGAGCAAACGTGTGTTTCATCACGTGACATGCGACCTTGAAACCTCTCTATATATCCGCTGCTTTGCCGTGTAATGCGTTGCCATTGGAAATATCACAGCTATGGATAACTTTATTTAAACAATCCAAGTTATAAATTTGTGTTCTAATTTTATTCCATTACTATGCACGGCACCATCAATCAATATTTATATGTTTTGGGGAATTCAAGTTATTACAGCA